GCGGGCTCGCGTTTTTGGAGTCAACGCATCAAGTGGCCTGACACAACCAACGTGCATGCACAACGTCACCGGGGTCACAAAAGAAAAGGCCGACTGCTAAGGTCGAACACATTAGTTTCACCGATTCGTCAAAAGCTGGTTGAAAAGGTCCAAGTGGGCGGGGCACAACCGGCCTGAGCTACATGCCTGTGCCAGAGTCATTGTCAAAAAAGCTTGTCTAAATCGAAACCCCGTACGATCCCGTAAGAACTGCTGAAAGATGATGATAGATGTTGATAATGATCAGGGCGCGCCACCATCCCTCGCTCCCTCCCATCGTGGAGCTTTGGGTTTCTAAGGGTTCAGGTTTAGGCTTTGGGTTCCAGCGTTTGGGGGCTTAGGACTTTCAAATTTGTCTCTGGTTTCTCTAGGTTGTTGAGGGGGTTTAGGGTTTAAGAGGGAGAATGAGGGAGAATGACTCCGGAGACCCAAAAAGGAATAGAAGTGGGGAGGGGGTGGCGTGGCCTTCTTGGGGCTTTCTCTTAAGATTCCAGATGTCGGATCTCCAGAGCAAGTGCCACCGCATGCATGTGAGAGTGTGGGATGGCATGGGATCGCTGTGACACTTTGTTCTGTGCGGAGGAGCATGTTCTCTGTGCTGTTGGGTGGCTTGACTGGTGGGTTGGCTTAGGGTGGCCTGCCAGCATTTCTGCACAGAACAAAGGTGCCTTCTACCAGGCTGAAGCAGCTTAAGCTGCACAACTGCGGTACCGTTTTGCGTGTTGCATGAAAAACCGCAGGCAGAGGACCTCGAAACAACTCGAGATGCAAAGCCACCTAACACGCCGGAAACACATATTTTCTGAGACCCGGTTCCCCGAGCTCAATATCACTTAAAACATCTTAAAACCCTAAGCGGCTTGCTTGCTTATTCATACGCAGCTCACTGAAGTGGTGTTCTTCCCAGTCTCTCTCTCTCTCTCTCGCTCTCTTCTTCTGCTTCTTCTTCTTCTTCTTCTTCTTCTTCTTCTTCTTCTTCTTCTTCTTCTTCTTCTTCTTCTTCTTCTTCTACTTCTGCTGGGCTTGGGTGGTCCCCCGAAAGGGCCCCTCGCGCGAGTGCGCGCCGGGATCCACGTCGTGAAGCTGAAAACTGAGGTCTTGGCGTGACAAGTTCTCGCCCTCTCTCACTCTGTTCTTCTTCTTCTTCTGCTGGGCTTGAGGGCCCGAAGGCCCCCGCACTCTGGCGCGCCCGAAGTTCGGTCTCAAATGAAAACTCCCGGAACAGGCACTGTGAGGGTGTTTCGGATTCCCCAGTTAACAAAAGCTCAATACCCCCCTTTGTTTCAGGCCTCCTCAGGGGCATTGCCCTTTGCGCCTGCAGCGGGTGCTGTTGGGGTGAAAGCTTGTTCTTGTCTGTCAATCGACACGTCGTGCTTCCGAGAAACCACAGGGCTCCCAGGCGGAGGGAGGGTGGGCACGTAAGGACGCAAGGGCAAAAAACGTGTTTACTCCCTGGGGTTCCTATCTGAGTGGAGTGAGAAGGTGCCACCCTGAATTGCTGCCCTTGGTCTGCTTTTGGAAAGAGCTGAATGACAGGACCTCTCCCTCGCTCTCTCTCTCTCTCTCTCTCTCTCTCCCTCCCTCTCTCCCTCTCTCTCTCTCTCTCTCTCTCTCTCTCTCCACACGCTAAGCCCCTTCGAGGAGGAGCTGCCCCGAAAACCGCGCGAGTCCGATCAGTCTTGCCCATGATGTCTTCCCCACGGTCTTCGTGGGGGACAATCCGTTTGGGGTTGGGGCCTCGAACTCAAGAGGAGAATTCCAGTGCCCCAAGCTGTGCTCCCCTTAAAGTGCCCGGAACACAAGACGCGTTAAAGGGCAAACAAAGATTAACAGCTGCATGTTTGCACTTTGTGTGTCTGTGAAACCTCAGGTGGTTGCCACGTCGGGAAGTGGGGAAGGCAACGCAAGGTGGAGGGCGCCCCCATGCGCCCCCCTAATTTCCCTTTGCAACTGAAAGAAATGCAGCCACTCGCTGTACTCTCTCTCTCTCTCTCTCTCTCTCTCTCTCGCGAGCCACATTTGATTCGACCATGTGAGCCTCATAGCTGGCCTTTCTGCCACAGCTCTAGCAAACAGGTTCATGCACAAATCAGCTGCCACTGCGTTGTCAATTACCACGCTGACCAGACGGCACAACAACAGCACATCCAACGTGTCTAATTCAACACGTAGTAAGGGCTGCACGAAGACTCGGAGCTTTGATCTCCCATGTCGATCTTGCGCGCTACGCCTGGCACAATGCTGCACGATCTCCTTCCTTTTTTTGAGGCACGAGTCCCTGTGAAGCTCACCAAACTTCACCGAATGCAGAGGCAGGCAAAGCAAAACGCCGAAAGCAGCTCAGCCATCTGTGACGGTCTACGCACATCCCTCAACTCCACGGAGACTCCACGACCCCACGCTGCTTTCAGGAAGGAGACCCTCAATACTCACTCAACTATCGTCTGCTGCAGAACCACCGTCCGCAATCAATCAAGAAGAAGCCCGTTTGAACACTACTGTAGCCTCTGGCCTGATAATGGCCGCTGGTGCCTTACTTCTTCCGCCAAAGGCAGAACCTTTGGATGAACAATGATGAACACATGGTCTGGGCCGAACTCAATACAAGAGCACGCCGGCCTCAGCTCGCTTCGTATAAGGGTCATAGAAGTCGAAGTACTCGTCAATGACGACTGGGCCCTGCTCGTGGCTTCGGGTCTTTCAAGAGTGGCAGGGTTTAGGATGGCCATAGGATGCCATAGGTCCACATCTTTCCACACCGACGCGTGATTTCCAAAAAGCCGTGCGAAAGCATTCCTTGAGCCTTCTGCTTCCTTCACTGCGCATGTTGCTCGCATCTCTTCAGGAAAGCCTCCTGCACGAGCTCAAGCTCAGTGGAACCCCCTTCGTCAATGTCTTCCTCTGTGTCGACCTGTCATCCATCACGCACTACGAATTCAGTCTTGCTCACCACGAAACCACACAACATGTCTGTCTGACGTGCTCCACTTTGGGAGTTCTTGGTGTTTTTGGAGTCCGCGATGTTGGCGTATTGACTCTGGATCTCGGTGATGGCGATAGCGACTGATTCAAGTCTTTGCTTGACCTGCCATGCATGTCTGCTGGTCACTCTGGCTACCACCACAAGAGCTGAAGATTTTGAAATAACACATGAGCAGCTTGAGCAGCACAAACTTCATTTTGCTTCATAGCAACAAATCCGGCACCAAAAACCTGTGAAGTTGGTAGATTCGTGGTGAACAGGTTGGCTTTCCCCCGGAAGGGGCGGAGTGAAGGGTGTGGGAAGGGGGGTGGGGAAGCTGAAATAGGGTTATTTGGAAGCTGTTTTCATATTTACAACAGGGCAAAACGACCCAGAAACTTCAGGACATTTCAGGACGCTTCCAAATAAACCCTTTTTCTCGCTCCGGAAGTGGCTGGGAGCCAGATGTAAAGAAGTTAAGTAACGCAAATCCTGGGCGGAGGTCTGGAGCGCCCCTACCTCCCCGTCCCATGATTGACAATATTTAGTTCCCCTCCCCCGAAAGAACAGAAAAGTCAGATGATGTAAATATTACGTGCTTATAAAGGTGCATTTGTGAAAAACGAACGCAAAAAAAAAACGTGGGCACAAGCAATTGCAGATAAGAGCAATGGGTATGGAATGGTAAGGGAAGGTCGCAATTTTCAGGGCGTTCGATCACCCGGACCTAAACCCTCACCCCTAATCCACCATTGAGCGATATTGAGCGCTCGGTCCACCACAGTCATCCATGGTCTGATATGGTCTGCCTCGCCCTGTGTGCTCGGTCCTCCTTGGCCGAAACCCTACACCCAAACCCACCATTCGCTGCTGATAAAATTTACCTGCCCCCAGACGCACCCGCCAAAATAAGCCCTGAACACTACAAAACCCTTAGCCCCGTACGTCGTATCAAAATGAAATGGGATTTTTCTGCACACTATGTGCGTTCAACATACAGAACAAACATCGTATGATCTCGACCTGCCCTCTTGAAGCAAATTCAACATGCAGCACATTGGGATTCTCATGCACCGGCAACAACAGAATCGTGCCGTTAAGGCTCTGCTGGCTCTTTTACAAAGACGCCCAAAAACTGTGCCATGTCAAGTCTGTCTCCAGGCCATCAATTGCCGTGCCTCTGTGGAATTATCGGGGGCCTCTGCAGTGGCTCGAGGCCCATGGAACGCGAGAAGCGCAAAACAGCGCAAAGATGTGCAAGGAAGCCCCGAAAAGGTGTGCGCACGCAGGGCAGGGCACATCTCTCTCAACACACCCCAACCCTTCATTAAGGCTGTGGCAGAGACAGCGACTGGAAGTCCTCGCCTGCGTGGTTCAACGCGATTGACAAGAAGAGCGGGTGGAAGCGATAACAGCCGCAATTGCTGCAGCCATGAGTCCAAATATCTGCAAGGCATTCGTCTCGTCGACCAGACTGCGCTCCCTCTCATCCTGACACTTCTCGGCAGGATGACGGTAGATGATTTGATCAACAGGCCTTGTCGCAGCATCTGTTGCACAGAATTGCCTGGCACCGTTCGAAGTTCCATTCACCAAGTGATACTGTAGAAGCTCTGGGACCCCTACGCTGCCCATGGGCCAGGACAGGCCCTAGAAAAATTCCTCTGCCCTAAGCTGGGTTGACGGATTACGCTGCAGGCTGTACGTGTTCGTGCATCAGCTAGAGCGCAGTCTCCAACCGTCTAACTTTCTACAACCGCCAATGGGGTGTACTTGTTTGCTTCTGTCATACTACGTCCTTAAGCCGACTGCCAGCCAAATCACTCGCATCTCGCATATCTCTGCACAGGGACACTGGTCCTATGACCATCCGTTCTCATCAGCATCTGCGACGCGACCACAGCACAACAAGAAGTCACATGCTAATCGCCACGGAATTACTGGCATTTGCTGCTTCAGAGCCACGAACCCTCTGTTCCAGCACAACTGGGGTCACAACATCTGCACTGGTCAGGGAACTCAAAGATGCAGGGCGGAGTGGCTGCCAGGTCCGCCTGATGCACAACAATTTCGAAACAGCTGATGTGCGTAACCAAACCACTTTTTGAACAATTGCAATTCTGCATGTTAGAAGCAGGAACTCCCAAAAAGTGTCCCCCAAGCCACCCAACTCACTCCTAGACTCGACGAGAATGTTTACTTATTACGCTTGTAGGCGGGTGTTAAGGATCCTCCCTCAAACTGCCCCACCCCACCCCCCCCCCCCACCGACCCCCACCCCCCCACCCCGCCCCCCTCCATCCCCCCCCCCCAAAAAAATCAAAACCCTTGCTGGTCTCCCTTCCCAGGCGTTTTTCTGCTGCGGAGGGTGGGCGCGATTTTTTGTTTTGCTGTTGAAGTTGGGCGCGTTTGTCTTGCGGAGGTGCGGACTGGCTCACTCACTTGTTGGTGCGCTTTTTTATGGATCGCCTTAACAGAAGGAGCCGCCACAGCAGCAAAAAAAGAAACACGGGCGGATTTTCTTTGCTGCAGAGGCAGGGCTTGTTTAGCCGGGTCGAATTGGGTCGCCTTAACAGAAAAACCGCACCAACAAAAACAAACACGGGTTCCGATTAGAGCGCAAGTATCTTTGCAGCTCAGTCAACGCAACTGACTGGAAAAAACCTATCGCATGTTTGCACTGTGAGACAAACCAGAACCGTAGGCGGCAGTACATAAGATGCAAAGACCGGCGGACTTAGAGCATCGCCTCTGACAAAAAGAAACTCTACGACACGGCGGATGCTTATTGCCCCATCTCTTATGCCCCGCCGTATTCAGGGATCTGCCAGGGCCGCCAGAGCTGTTCGCATTTTGGTATTCCAGTTTGTGTGCCTGGCACTGGCCCCCTCGTACTGGTCCATTCTGGGTCCCAAACCCCCAAGCCATTTCAGCTTTTGAAGGGATTTCTTCACATGTGTGTGACCTGTAGGCTTTCAGGTGCTTCAAGCCAAGACAAATGTACGCCTCACGGCCAGTACGTAGTTTGGAAACTCGACCCTGCGATTTTGCATACTCTAAGATGGCTTAGCTCCATAACCTGAATGACACAGAACGACCCGTCAATCGCAGAAGGATGCTGCTAAGAGTAGGGCCAGATAGAGAACTTTCAACTTAGAACCAAGTACAAGCCGAACCTTGCACCAGATACTCGTACAGCTGATGCTGGTCCAGCTTCCGCCGCACGCACTTTTCTTCCGAAGGCCGGTCTTCAAGAGCTTACTTGAAGCCCTACAAGCAAGAAAGGAGAACCGGACAACTTTGAAAGATTCTTTCATCCCTAATTGCAGAACCGATTCTCACCGAAAGTTCTCCGGAGTTTCCAAGCCTTGCCTGTATGCCTACGACTCAACTGTACCGGGTGACTGCTTCAACTTCAAGGCAGCAAGCCCACAGATCACACAGGCCACACTTTGTCCTGTAGATTTGTCGCTTAGGGTCTTGGCAAGAACCCACCACCTCACAGGCGTCGCGCTGCACACAAGACAGACTCACAAGCTAATAAAACTTGCCTCAGCTTCGTAAGCGGCGATCAAAGTCTTCCAACTGACCCTGAGTGGATTGGTTTTCTGCCTCCTGCTTCAGACAAGACTCCGACTGCGTCAATCGAACTGCATTGCATCTGACAAAGGTCGCTACATTTGTTTTGGTCCTTCGCCGTGCTGTAAACAGCATCATCCTTGCCAATCTGTCGCCTGCCTTGCCGAAATCTCCTGGCCTCACACGCTCTCCGCAGGAAAGGGAAACGTTCTGCAAACCATGCGCGGGGGCGAGGGGACGATGGCTCTCTGAGCCGACCCCCAGCAAGGCCCCGGACAGCCCCAAACCAAACGAGGGACCGTGATCCTCCTCCACATGATCCATAGACCCTAGGGACGCCAATTTGTTTTGGACAGTTATCAGCCATGGGTGTTTCAAGGACTTCTAAAGCCTCTATGGACCTCTTATGCACCCCCTGACGCATGTATTGAGCTGGCGTTTATGAACCCCAATGGAATTTGGACCGACCACCCTGCGGACCTATGACAAACAATGGACCCCCCTCTGGTGATCCCTTGGAATGCCTTCTTGTAGATCCCCTATGCTCCCTCTAAGAGAACCTTTGTATCCCACTTGCTGCCGCATCCGTCAACCGCTCGTCGACGCAGCCAAAGCCGTGCACTGCACAATTTGTCAAAGTGTTGCGTTCTCTTTGCCATGCTGAGCCGTTTTGGCTTGTGGCCTTATCCCGTGCAGGTAGGCAAGACACGCTCTTGGCGTGCAATTTCTCCAACCTTTCTTTCCATGACCCGAAAGCTTCGGAAAGATTCTGACGGCATTTGGGTACTGAGGTGTAAAGTTTCGGCTCTGCACCCTGGGATAGAGATGTCCGGGCTGCAGGGTTCGGCGTCATCCATGCCGAACCGCTGCATACTGTGGCTGATGTCTGAAATTGAGGTGCAGGCCGCGCCGAGGCCGCGTTAACGTCATTTGTAATGTAAACCTCTGTTTTCACCTTTTGAACTTTTGGTCTTTCTTGGGGACCCTCTCTGTGGGCCCGGGCGCTCTTTCTCGCCTAAGCTCTGCGTGCAATTCCATTCGCAAACGATGAACGACGATGACCGGAAACGTGTGCGCCTGGCTCTCACCGTGTGCAATTCGGGGCCGGTGTCCCAATTCCCAAACATCGCAAGAGCATGTTCTGGGCCTTGCTGGTCCGGTGCACATTCATTACTCGAAAGCGTACACTTTTTGAGGTTCACGCTGTTATCATGCCACGAAATCATGGGGGATGTGCTTTCCTGCATGTTGGGCTCCTGGATGATCCAAGATGGGTTGCCTAGGGGGATTTTTTGCATTTCATGAGGTTACAAATGGCACTCTTGCCTTGGTTCCATTGGTTCCATTGGTTGCTTGAGAAGTTTCCGCGCGCCGCGTGAAGTGCAGCACTGTCGTTGTTGTCCGGTGCTCGTGAAACTGTTTGTGGGTTGTCTCGGAGTGTTTTGGGAATGGTCTCGGAAACCAAATCGCGTTCTCGTGCGTGCGCGTTCCGTGCTTCCGCCTAGATCCTGTGCATTTTTTGAGGCTCTTGATGGGCTGTCCATTCCCAGAGTGCACTCCCTAGACACTTTTTCCATGCTCTAAGCCCTATATCCTCGACTTCAATAGGCATTCTCTTACTTGATGCCAGATGAGCAGCTGCCAAAACTTCGGCTTTGTACGAAGAAGAATTGGCACAGCTTGTGGAGTATTCCCGTCGCTTTACGGGGTTTTGGCCAATCAACTTGGGGCATCATTTTTCAAGTGTTCCCGTCGCTTGCTTTGATCACCAATCTACAGCGGCGGTATTGGCGCCTGCCGTATGGGAACCGAACCCCGAATACGGGCCCACTGGAGTCTACCTTAGCTCTAGGTTTGGGTACAAGCTGGGGATCATCTTAGGCAAACGGGTTTGTTCTGTAGAAACAGTTCCTCCTGACGGGATGCATACAGTATTTGAAGCAGCGTCGAAGGCGTTGTCCCACTGCAGACTAGGAAGCAGAGTAACAGTGGGAAGAATAAATGTCGAATGTTTTCGCCGAAATGGCGACGGATATATACACGAATTCGAGAAATACACGCGAACTACAAAACAATGATTGATCTACAAACCAACCCTGAAGGTTTGCAACCAGCATTTCCAAAACCTGTCTTGTTGAGATGATGCTGCCTGAACACAATGTTCAAACAGTTACGTTCTTGTTTGTCTCCTTGTTTTTTGCAAGCATGCCCCCGACATGATGAACTGTCTTGTCGTTTATGCACTTTAAGACTGAACAGTGGGTAGCCGACGTCTTGCTTTTTGGGCTTACAACCCTGATTTTTGTTGTGGGCAGGTACAATGGAAACTGTTGACCATAAAATTAGCGGCATGAAGTTGTTGCTATGTTGCCATGACACTTCAAAAGAAACACGTAGCTTTGTCTGTTTTCAAAGCTCCAAGCGTGAGAGTGCGGTGCACAACGGAGCACCCTCAGCGCACTGCGTGCGCGGAGCGTCAGAACACGCCGTAGCACTGTCTTCGGGCTTCCCAGCTTCGGCTATTTTCTGCTTTCGACTTTTCCAGCAGAAGGGTTCGCGTTGTTCGGGGTTGGGGTTCCAAGGGTCCAGGAATCTGCTCGCCATCGAGCGTTTATGATCGAAAAGGCCGAAAGGGTTTAGGGGGCAGCCTGCAGCTGGCCTGCAGGCCCCGTCCCTGGCCCTGGCCCAGCTGTGCCTAGCACATTCGCTCCTCAAAGCCAAACAGCCACAAAGTGAAGGTGTCAACTTCGCAAATCAAAATTCATACAATGTGCATCATCCAGGCGCGCACTGGAGGCTAAAACCCACCTCCCCACACAACCGAAGAAAAATGGTTGAGGCTTGCGCCTACTGACTAACACATTCGGCACATGTAATCCGCATACAGCACAAGCCCAGTTCCCGTTCTTCCCAACATCCTCATTACTCCGATGATGAAAAAGACCCAGGACGCACTCATCTTGATGAAGTTCTCGCACCACTCCTCTCTGCTTCTCAACTGTTTGGGTTTGGCCTGGGCAAGCTTTCCGTCAACAGCGCCGGACCGCAGTATGTTCAGCCAGTCTTTGCGGTTCCTGTTCCGCTGCTGAATCTGACCTCAGGTGAGGTGACAAAACAAGGTCGCAGGAGCTGTTCAAGTTCTCTGGCGGTATGGGCATGGATTCCTTACCCACATAACTGGGAGATACTGGGGGCGACCGAGGCAGCCCAAGGAAGGAATTTGGGAAGAAGGAAGGGGTCGAGGCGCGAGTGTGAAGGAGACGGCTCAGATCTCAGCAGCCGGTCACCACGTGCAGTAAAGCTTCCATCTACCAGGAATCTACCAGGAATCTACCAGGTTGTACAATGGTATACTGCGAACGGGAGCGTCGGAAGTTTCGTGCCACCAACCCTGCATGCCCCGTGCTCCGCTTCGAGCCTGGAACGCCCCCATCCACTATCAACTCACTATCCCTGTCAACAGCACCCAGGACGG